TATGGGCGATAAACCATACGAATGCGATATCTGCGGACACACTTTCACGCAACTTGGTAGCATGAAAAGGCATCGTCGCAGACATCCCGACATTAGTATTCATCCGCAGACGTTCCTGTGTGCCCAATGCGGCACGAAGTTTGCGACGAATTATGCACTGAAGCAACATGAACGTGTACACACCGACGAGCGGCTGTACCAATGCAAATCATGCCTGAAAGCTTTCAAGAGGGTTACGGCTCTCAGGGTGCACGAGCTCATTCATACGGGCGATAAACCATACGAATGCGATATCTGCGGACAAACTTTCACGCAAAGTAGCAGCATGAAAAGTCATCGCCGCAGACATCCCGACATTGGTATTCATCCGCCGCCGTCCACCGTTGCTGCTTAGTCAACTTGAATTAATCTGAAAGCCGAATTAGTAGCTGGGTACGATATACTTATAAATTCGTTGGAATGGCGATTGCTAAAATAATTATTTATCTTGAATGTGTACAGATACTGTGTGTGTAGTCGGTATTAAAAAAAAAAAAAACATGTAAATACTTAAGAAATATTATAAGTGAAACGAAGCTTATAATTTTGTTTCTATCCTTACACTTTTCAATATTAGTTGCTTCATCTTTGCAAGAATTGTAAAATTGTGTAATATCAATAATATGAATTATATCAGCCAAATGATCTTACTAGTGTAGTACTGAATATTACTACTGATTATATTGAAGTCTCTTGATTTTTATACAATTGTGGTAGACGTTGCATGTTTTGTGTTTATACTGATTGAAATTAATGGATGTTTCAGGAGACGGTGGACCACAGTGCGGGATATATATCGAAAAGTGATTGTAATGCATGATGGCGTGGTACAGACTACTGCTAAAAAAAGTGTGAGAAAACGCTGTAGCCCAGCAAAAGGGGATAGAAAAAAAAGAATGCGACAAAGAAATAAGAAAAATTTTAGCAGAGAAGAACTTTGTGCAGACGAAGAATTATTGAGTAAAGAAGAAATTAAAGAGGGAATTAAGGAAGAAATTAAAGAAGAAATTGAATCTGTAGAAATGTCGCCATCTGAAGATACTTCACAAAACGAAAAGAACAAAGATGTGGATCAGGTATTGAATGAAGTGCGGACCGCTTGTCCGTTTTGCTTAAAGCACTTTGACCATGAGAAACTTCTGAAGAGACATATCGTAGCGAGTCATCAGAAAAGAGCGTATAAATGTGACAAATGTCGTGCATCTTGTCACACCAAGCAAAACTTGGAAAAGCATCGTAAGAGTCACAGTGATGATTACTTCTTCGAGTGCGACATATGTCATTTGAAGTACAAACGTCAGATAACGCTGAAGCAACATCAAGTGCGAGCGCATAGTGATGTTGCTGCTGAGTTTATTTGCGATTCCTGTGGCCAGTCGTTCAAGGTGAAAGTGGATCTTCTTGTGCACATCAAGAGAAAGCACAGCACCGACATTCACATATGCCGATATTGCGGGAAATCTGTGACGGATCTTCACAGCCACGAATGGAAGCATAAGAAGCGAGCCGAGATGGCCAGCTTAAAATTCTCATGTCATCTGTGTATCAAGAAATTCCAGAACCAAACTCGTCTTGACAATCATTTGTTGTTGCACAAACAGGGTTACAAATGTACTGAGTGTAGTGTTATTGTCACTTCATCGAGACAACTGGAGTATCATAAGAATCGGGTACACAAACCGGGTACGACTTGCCTGATTTGTAAGAAAGTATTTGTGTCGAGGGGTAATAAATTCTATCAACATGTTCTTACGCACGCCGGTATTAGGCCGTATAATTGCGATATTTGCGGTGAAGACTTTACTCAACGATCCAGTCTCTTTCGGCACCGAAAAAATCATCCCGGTCCTCTTCCGCCTTACACGTCGCAAGTTCCCATCGCCGGTTTAGCTAAAAATGTTTTACAAAAACTCTTGAAACTATAATGAATGGTTTATGTGAAGATGCAATAATACATCGTTATATCTATACAAAAGGCATCCTTGATCTACAGATTCGTAGTAACAGTTTTGGAAAACATACTTCTCAAAAAATATGTGCCGGTAGTTTGTGAGAATATAGAAATATTTGAAGATATTAATTTGTTCTTATATTCTGACATTCTTGCTATAATACTGTATTTGATAATTATGCAGAAAGAGGGCATATATGAGGTTGCCCTTTTTCTGTATAATTACCCGGTATTTTTTCTTCTATATATTATATGTCATAATTAATTAAAAACTTCCATTGATGATTTTTTACTTTGTGCGACAAATGTTTAATTTTATTTTTGGTAACTTTTAGTTTTATTTTGTTTTTTGATAAATGTGAAAAGTATTTTATTTTAAAGATATGTTCTATTATAACACGTATGCAAAAAAAAAGATTAACTCGAAATTAAGCAAAGGATATGTATGAAATGGATAACAATTGCGATATACAACTTGACATGTTCTTACGGCGACAGTCTATAGACCTACAAAAGACTGATTTGTTTAGCAATAGATTGTAAAACTATTAGTTCTAATTATTTAAATTATCTCAGATATATATAAATATATTTCTCTTATGAGCACAAAGTATAAATATTTAGTATTACTGAATATTTATTTCGATACATAATTTCGAATTACATTATTTGGATAACATTGTTTGTAATTATACAGACGCTAATAAATAAAAAAATATTGTACTTTTGCAAGATTCTTTTTAATATAATTATTAAATAAAGTATTACGTGCATATTAATATTGTGTGCATCGCAACTTTGTTGTATAAGATTTATGTGTGAAAAAAAATATATATATACACATTTTTTTACAACTCTTGAAGTAAGTTTATCTTATTTTTATGTTTGATTATGAAGTTTTTCGTATTACTGAAATAATATTAACGAACATTTATTTCAGACTGATTGCACCTTTGGATATAATGGGATACAAATGCGTGTAAAAATTTATAACATAAAAAATATTGATGATTAAAATGTTTATAATTTTTTATATAATATTTGTATGAAAAATTTCTAAGTAATGGATGAAATTGATGGTGACGGTCCTAATGTAATAATATATTGAGATTTATCTTTTTACAGTGGCGTAGGATGTCTCTTATATTCAGTTACTTGGCTATTTGATTATATGTTTAAAATACAGTATTGATACTTTATACGCTGACACGATTTATCCCTGTTTCAGGGAAAAGCCTATCATCATCAGGCAGAAAGGAGCGCAATATCGAAAAGGACCTCCCCGTTTTGTCTCCATTTTGTTGGGTACATGGAAATCTGTCCAAAATGAACATAATTCTACAAAAACAATTGGAAAACTTAAACCCGTTACAGTACAGTGTCGAAGTATAAATAGATCGATTAAAGTAGATTTGTCATTAGATTCGCAGAATTCGTCCGTAAAAACTACCAAGGACACCAATAATTCAATTCAGAAGGTTCGATCTTTGTTGAACATGAAATCGCCGCAGGTCTCCGGTTCTTCAAATTTACATAAAGAAACTACCGAGGTAGACGAAGTCATGGAAGAGATAAGAAATACGTGTCCATTTTGCGACAAGCATTTTAATAATCCAAAGAAGGTTGAGCGACATGTGAGATACGTGCATCGTAAACCATATCAATGTGACAAGTGTAAAAGAGCTTGTTACACACCAAAGGCATTAGAGGAACACAAAAGGATACACCGGCCGGACTATTTCTTCGAGTGCGAGATCTGTCATGTGAAATACAAAAGTGGAGACGGTCTGAAAAGACACTACGTTCGCATCCATAGCGATCACGAGCCGAGATTCGTTTGTGAGCATTGTGGTCGCAGTTATAAACTGAAGATCGATCTGACGCACCATATGAAGAGAACCCACGTGTTGGAACTGCAAATCTGCCGTTTCTGCGGCAAGAAGGTCAAGGATGTCAAGGGCCATGAATGGCGGCATCAGAAGCGAAATCGCGAAATCAAGTATGAATATCCATGTCACTTGTGCCGCAAGAAGTTCCACCACAGAAGCAGACTGGACAATCATTTGATGTTGCATGAAAAAGGTTTCAAGTGCGAGGTTTGTGACAAGGAGTACAGCGGTACTCGCGAACTCATGAGCCACAAACGTTTCAAGCACGGCCAGACAAATATCTCCACTTGTATTCTGTGCCATAAAACGTTCCTGTCCAGTAGCAATTTCTATCAGCATGTGCTTACCCATGCCAGCATACGGCCATACAAGTGCGACATCTGCGAGAAGGACTTCACGCAACGCTCCAGTCTGCTAAGGCATAGAAAGCATCATCCTGGACCACTGCCGCCATTATTATCGTCGCATCCGCAGATAGCTGAGCTCGCCAGAAATTACCTTGAAAAGTTTCAAAGTGATCACATCGATAAGACTTCCATATTGGATGCGTGATCATGATTGATCGTATACAAAGGACTGTGAAATGTTCTTATTTGACTATCTTGGAGTTTTTAAGGAATGTATAAAATGTCCATATTGGAATATATGATTCATATGTATAAGTTTTTAATTGTACCTTGTGTACAAGAAAATTACATGACGATATCAATTGTACTTTTATCTTTTTAAGAGAAAAGACTGGTGATTATTTACGCATATTTATAAAAAATATTTATCTATCCTTATGTTGTTTGATATATGTTTTCGTGTACGTTAATTGAAGTGTTTCTGTATTAGAAAAAAATCACCTTATTTTTGTGTATACGATTTGTGCAAAACGGCGAACATTAGAAATATTCAGTGAGAATTTCTGTTTTATGTGAATGTTATTAAATTATTAAAGTTGATGGAAAATTTGTGACAAGTAATACCATAGATTTTTGCTGTATAGCTTTTTTATAAGCTTTACTTTTCTAAATTTTCAATATTTTTTACTGAAAGTATTACATTTTTTAATAAATCTCTAAAAATTAATTTTTTTTAATAATTTCAAAAATTTTATATAAACATGAGAATATTTTGTATGAAAAAGAATTTCTCTCTATATTTTATATATATGAATTATTAAATGATTGTTATGATAATCGTAATTTCTTCAATGTAGCGATATATTTATATAAATTATATTTTCTCTTAATGATTAATTTTATCAATGTTTCAGGTTACAAAGGATGTGAGATAGTTGTATATATCGAAAATTAAGCATCTCATGTTACAAAGGGAGTCCAAAGTGACTAAAATTTTAGTAAGCGATTAACTAAAGGATTATATACATAATATAATATGTCTATATGAAATATTAAGTCGTATCGAAGAATATTTTGTTAAAGAGCAAGAATTAAACTTCAAGATGTTCTCTTATGAGAGTCGATTAACCGACCAAATTGATCGAATATTACTATTCACTAATATGCACTTAGCAGTCTTTGAGCTTATCACCATTGACAAATTTATTGTCTCTGAGATCATAAGACACATTGAAATTCCTCGAGAGAATGCACTCGCAAAAGTGCAAAATTATCCGTTTATCCGACATATTATATTATCCGAAAAAGCTTGTGATGCAGACACAGTTGAACGATCATTTACTGATCTTCCATTATCAGAATTGTGTTTAAAAGATCTGATATGAGTGTTGCAAATGGAATCTTAACATGGAACGAATATAAAGCAAAATTACTTCATCTCCACCCGCAAATATCGACTCGTATTGTAACATGAGTTTTATGCAGCGATTATATCTCTATTTTTATAATACATGATTAACAACAATATATATTCAATTTTAGTTGTACACAAAAAAATGGATTTTTTAAAATAGAAATTAAATGCATTGAATAGTCTAAATAAATATTATATGTATTATACGTCACATATAAAGTTTATTTACGTATTAATGTAATAATTGCGTTTTTTTTTTTATGTAAGTTAGTCTAACTAAGGTTAGTTAATTTATTTATTTATTATTATAGATAAATTCTAAATTTATTAGAATAATAAGAAATACTTGCCTATAAGGAAATATCCGTGAGCAGTGGAGAAAAGTTATTTTTGTGAAATTCAGCTCTGTTTCTTCTTTACCGAAACTTTTTTAGCTGAAGTTGCACCAATGCATGCTCGCGTGCAACCAGCACGATCATATCCCTATTATACTAACGAATAAAAATCGACTGACAATTTTTATAATTTTTTTAGGTGCAATCAACTAGATCCACTCTCGTCAACTTATCTGATAGTAAAACTGGAAGACGATTATTTTCGCATCCCAAAGTCATTGAGCGTGTTTATGATGAAAGAACCGCCACCCATCGAGGAAAATAGTTCCAAAACCGAGTCAAAAGAAGACGAAGCAAAAGAAAAGGATAATCGCGTCGAGAAGGATAAAAATCGGATTGAGACCAGAAAGAGAAATAAAACCGTCATCGACGATTCAGACGATTCGGATGATTTGGATGATATGGATGACGCTCCCTTGGATTTCAGGAAACGGCGCAAAGAAAAATTTTCGAAAACGCGATCCGGCAAGCATTCGACTAGTCTAAAGAAGAAGTCGCATATCTGTGAGATCTGTTACATTACGTTCGACCGCAAGAGCAAACTCACTAGTCACATGTTCAAGCACAGCAACTCACGGCCGCACAAGTGCACAATCTGCTCCAAGGGCTTCAAGACCGGTGCGTATCTTTCTAGGCATATGGAGATCCACGACGAGCCCGCGCAGCTTCACGCGTGCACCCTGTGCGACTTCAAGGCGCGCACGAAGCCGTATCTGAAGATACATTATATTCGCAAGCATACCGAGGACTACAACTATAGCTGCGAACAGTGCGGCAAGATGTTCAAGGTGCAATCCGACTACACGACACACATGAAGGACCACGACACGGAGTCCTGCGTTTGCGACATATGCGGCACGTCCTATCCCAGCAAGAGCTCCTTATACTTCCACAAGCATTACAAGCATAAGACGAAGGTCAAGGAGTTTGAGTGTCAGATTTGCAGGAAGCGCTTTAAAACCCAGAAGAATCTCGACAGTCACGCTGAGCTGCACAAGATGAAGTACGTCTGCGAGCAATGCGGTATGGAGTTCAAATTCAAGTACGGCCTCACGAAGCATCTCAGGACGCACTCGGGCGAGAAGTCGTATCTCTGCGCGATATGTGGCAAGACCTTCGGCTGCCTCAGCTCGCAAAAGATTCATCTGCTTACCCACGTCGGTGAGCGACCTTACATCTGCGACATCTGCGGCCAGAGCTTTACCCAGCGGTCGCCGATGATGCTGCACCGGAAGAAGCATCCTGGCGGAAGAAGCATTCCGCCGCCGCCGCCCATCAAAATTACAAATCTCCTGCATGGCGTGCAAGACAAAATTGTTGTGAAAAAAAGTGCCAAGTGACTCGCGTGTATATGCGACGGATAAACATGTGAAATGAAGAGAGTGATCTTTTGTGGTACGGATAACTTTTTTATATCTTTCTAATATGTATAATATGAAAACGCGTGATGTGCAAATAGATGATTTTTTATTATTATCTCAGTAGCGATACATTTGTAATGTTACGCAGTTTAGACAATCCCGCCTACCACACAGGCGATAAAGCAACAACATATACTATTATCTTGTGACGTGTAGAGATTCCGGATTTATTTCTCGAAAGTACATGCTTCTATGTTGGTATGTCGATCTTATGTTCAAATGCATTAGAACATTCACTCGAGAACAAGTTATGAATTAATACTATATTACAGTTTATCATGTTCACGATTAAGTTCCAAAACTCTGCAATCAAGTATTTATTTATTCTCTGATAGATTTCGAATATTTAAAGATTATAATTATCTCATGAGATCACAAAACTATTCTGTTATTTTATTTTATTTTATTTTTTTAAACTTTAACATACTCGCGTTATGACCTACAATAAATCTGTTGGCGATGTAAATAGAGTATATAGAAATGATGCCTGTATTAATCTAATATTAGATATCTACAGTTTATTTTCGATGTTCCGCTTCATCTTGGATTTTTGTTTATCATGTAATTACATTTCACTTTTATATCAAAGTCTTCCAATCTTGTGTATGTAATAGAGTTGTTTGAAAAATATATCACCATCTTTGCAACATCAAGTTCAATGATATTTCTTGAAATACGGTAATATCTACCATAATATCTTGTATATTCTAGTTTTGGTATTTTGGCTAAGAACGTGATATATTTTTATTAACATAAACTTTACATTTCATGGAATAAGAATTTTACTTTTTATCCACAATTTGAAGGAATATGTTATAATCTTCTCATTTAATAAATTATCCGCAATTAATTCAAATTTTGGATAGTAAGAATATAAATTTAATCAGTTTTTTGAACTGTAAATTTGTTTTGAAGAAGATATCGAAAATATGATTTTCTTCAAGAATAATCCTCGCCATGTTCGCTTTTGATAGCGAACTTCTGTTTACTGTATGGGATGATGCAATGTACAGTATAAAATTGATGTAAGATATTAAATAAATACATATGTTTTTAGTAAATGGATATATATAGACACTTTCCATGATATGTGACATGTAATCTACTTCCACGAAGTTGCACATTGATTCCTTTTCTTAAAAAGACATTTTAGATATAATGGAAAGTATAAAGCACAATAACACATAATATAATATTGATTAACTGGATGATTGCAGTTTCGATAGGAGAGACCAACTCTTTTGCTGTGAAGGATGCTTTTAAAAACATTTAAAAGTATTTAAAAAATAATTATTAAAAAATATTTTTATGTATCAGATAAGTTACACTAATATGAGAGACGAATTTTTTTTTAATAATTGTAAAACATAAAATACATATATATATATATATATATATATATATATAAAACAGAGTTAATATGTTTTATAAATTTTGTATATAATAATAGTAAAGCAGTTTAAAACTTTAGGGGAATAAATTATTTTTAAATAAAACATTATGTGGAAAAATGAGACAAATGTGACACACGATGTATTTTTGGTTATATTCACATAATAAAGATTATTTAAATATAATACAATTAAAATCGTAAAGATGTTCGTAGCATGAAGAAAATATATTTTTAATAATAATTTGTGCGGTTTTATATTGCGTATGTTTAATGTTTTTGGACATTGGTGCACTTGTTTTATATATATTTAATGAAGGCATAATGTTTAACGGAATACATGAAAATGTTTTTTTACAGTAATACACAGCATGTATCTATATATGTAAAAATATGTATTTTGCGCCAAACTAATTTATTTTTCTTACTTTTAGGTCTGAGCCATGTGATCCTCTTCAACAAAATTACCTTGTGATTAAAAACAATCAACAATATTATCTTGTGCCGATACAAGATTCTTGTGTTGTCAAAAATGAAGGTAAAAGTGAGATTGTAGAACCACCATGTCTTTCGCCGAAAGTAAAAGTGGAGGTTGCTGACGAATCTACGGAGGAGCCTGAAGAAATATACAAAGATGTAAAAGACGAATTGAATTTAGCATCAGAAATACATAATGAAAATTTGAAATACACGTGCCCTTATTGCTGGCTAAAATTTGACAAAAATTGCAATCTGAAAGATCATGTGATGGTTCACAGCAATGTTCTTCCACACGAGTGTTCAATTTGTGGTATACGCCTAGAAACTAAAACACTGCTTACATCTCATGTGTCGTTACATGAAAGCGGTATGGAATTGTTTCATTGTGCGGACTGCGACTTTAAATCGACAAAAGCTTCGAGTGTCACGTGCCATCAGGTAAAATGGCATGCTAATGTCTACAAATGTCAATTCTGCTTCGAATTATTCCAAAACAAAGTGGTATTCCTGCAACATATGGAGCTTCATAATGCAGTTACAGTTTGCGACGTGTGTAATCAAGTGTGTGAAGATAATTGTCATCTTACGCAACACAAGCGTAAACATCAGGATGATAAAAGTTATATTCACACACAGTTATATAAACAGTTGCAACGTGAAGATGAGCGTCAAAATGATGAAAAACAAGCGAATATAAAGAAATGTGAGCTTCAAAAATTTGATCTACAAGAACGTTTTAACAAATTGAATTGGAATTTGAGTTTACCGACAGAGAAAAAGTTTTTCAAGTGTTCTCAATGCAAATGGAGTTTTAGGACGATGAGCTTACTCAACAAACATACGAAACGGCATTCACGAAATTTTAAGTGCAACGAATGCGATGCAGTATTTAAATATAAAGCTTCTTTTATTAAACATAAATATAAGCATGAGGCTGGGGATGACGATGAAGATGAGTATGAGGATGAAAATGAAGATGAGTATTAGTTACCTAGATCTGGGGTCTGTCAGTTTGTCATAATATTTTGGATAATATTCTCATACATTTTTTTTTTCAATCTTATTCATAAGTACAAACGTAAAGATGAGTATTGATTATATAGAGCTTAAATCTGTTAATGTATTATTATGTTGGATCTCACATTGATGTCTAATTCATATATAATTCTTGGTGGCTAATATTTGGAGAGCGGTGGTTTTAGATTCTTTTCGAGAACAGAATAGATTTTGCAACCATCCATCAAAATTTGCTTCTGTAAACTATTGCGTCCTTTCTCAGACTGATGTACACACTTTCCTAATGTAGAACGTATATTGAACTAGATATGAAACATTTTTTATATAGAATTTGTAATGTGATAAACGATATGAATTTGTTAATGTTAACTTTCATAAAAAGTACACAAGGGATTACACAAAATAAGATTTCATTTTCTGAATTTTATTCTGAATCTTAATGTTTTTAATATTACTTAATATTATTTATTTCTAATTTTACACTTTTTTGTTTAATGTATTTTAGTTGCAATTTGATCAAATGCAATTAAATTATTTACTTTATTTTATATCATATTTTTAGAAAAATTTTGTTTTATTTTTAAAAATTTAATTCTTTAATATACATATATTGTCAACATTAATTGTCTGTCTCTTTCTCTTTTTTCTGTTTGTGGCTGCATATTAATTTTTATAAAAATTTTATTTTATGTCAAAAATAAAGATTGAATATACAACGTATTTATGATAACGTAAGGTCACTCAATTTTATTGTTTGTTATTTTGTTTTTACTGCATACATGAAATAAAATTGAGTTATCTGTATGTTATAATATATTCTATGTTTTTTACAGTTGTTGTTGAGCAGTTAAATATATAGAATAATTCTTTCTGTAGATATTCCATTATAGAAAGCTCTTAGGTAAATTTACAAACAAATGGTTAAATCAAAATATTAATAATATTTTTATTTTCACAAAATTTCCAAAAAGCTCGATCAGACATTACATTAAATAGTTAATGTTTATACATGAAATATATGTATATTATATTAGAAAGATCAAATAATTTTAAATAATTCTATATATGTATATATAGTTATGTATGTATGCAACTAATTGGTATTCTTGTTACATGCAATGGCTACTGATATTGGAAATAAGGCAAGATTTGTCTATTTAATATTATTAATTAGCACACATTTTCGTTTACATTTTTAAAAAGGATTATGTAATTTTTATTAATACACTGAAATTGAAGCAAATGTATGTAAATCAAATATGAACTGTAAAGCATACAGTACATACATGTATTAAAAATTCTGTGGATATTCGCCGCAACGGGTAAATAACATTTAAACTATGTATAATTTAAAAGAAACATGTTATGATAGCTTTTATATATAAAAGCAATAATAAGCTATATTAAATAATCTGTGAAGAATGTGTGATCTGTATGTATGCTCTTTTTATGATGTACATAATGTTCTCATATCGATTTTTATTTATGAAACATAGTTAAGTTTTAATATCGAATGTTAAAGAACACATTTAAAAGAATACACGTTAAAGAATATTGATGTATAAGTTGAAAAGTAAAGAATGTTTTTAATACATGTTTTTGTATTGCTCACTCAAAGATGCAGTAAGCTGCCTATATATAGATCTTGATATATAGTATTTGTGATATGTAGTATTTTAACATTATGAATTAATATTATCGAAACACATATGGTATTATCAAAATACGTATGTATTTTAGCTATTTAGATTGCGACGGACAATATGATAAAAAAAGCCACATTCTACTAAGGAGCAACATGATATTAAAGAAAAGAGTTGAACGACCATTTACAAAAGAAATTTAATTTTACGGCAGAAGCTGCCGTAAAATCTCGAAACTCAAGCAGAAGAAAGAATATCTTGCGATTGCTGCAAGATTAATTTTCAACATAAAGGAATTTGAATACAGGAAGCCTTGTTTACATATGTATATGACAAGACTTTCACATGGTTGATTAAGTTAAAGATATTTTCTGATGCACTCGAAAATTCGCTTGATATATCTGACGATTTGCGAGTAAAGCAACGTCCAGTCCTATCACTTCTTGAACGAAAGAACATTCAGATGTCAGAAAAAAATCTCACCATTTGCATTTATTAATAATAAGAGTAAATAATATAAAAAGTTCTGTTATAATCAGGAAACTAATAAATTTAACTAAGTTTATGCAAAAATAACTGTTTTGTTATATAATATATTTATGTATCTTTAGACATAAGTGTATACTGCAAATGTTTTATAGTACAATTATATAATTGTTTTTATTATTTAAACAGAAATTTTTGTGAAATAATATGTGATGAAGAAATTATAAATGATTGTTACAGTATTCAAGCATTAGACGAATGTAGCTGTGTACTGACAATATATGACAGATATAAAAAAAATGTGACGCATTCTTGCGCACACACACACCACAGTTTAGAAAATATCCTTTTCAAAATAATTCTAATTATATGTGACATTTTTATGTATATGTTTATGTACTAATATACTATAATTATTAAATATATAATTAGAATAATTATTCTAAATGATATAGTTTTTAAACTTATTTATATAAGCGCATCACATTTTTACAATGTTATTACATATAACCCCAGTTCCATTTTTTAAAATATGCTTAAATATATTAAAAAACATCGCGTTTTGAAAAAAATGTTTTCAAAAAGTTGTTTGGTTTTAAAGAGCACATAAAGTGATAGTCAGTTTTATTTTCCATGACAATTCCCATCAAGATCACATGAAGATCAAGGCTCAGTCACAATGAGAGGAATAAGGAATAAGACAAAGGAATTAGGAATAAGGCATGTTGCATCTCACTTTAATGTACGTGTACTGAAGTAAGATGCGACATTCCCTTATTCCTTATTCCTTTATCTTATTCCTTATTCCTCTCATTGTGACTGAGCCCTTACATTGAAATTTTTTAAAAACTAATTCTTTATTGTAGATTCTTGTAGCTGACGTCAAAACCTTTTTAAATCACTGTGATTAAGTTGAATTTTGCTCAGAATTTTCTAAGTTATGAGGCATTAAAGTTTAAGAATCACCAGCACTAGCGTTATCCGATGTGTATCGCGGGGAGGTTGCTCGATCGGATTTGCACATGTAGCCCTAAAAAGGGCTGATATAATGTAAATATATAGCGTGGATGTGTTTCATTTAATTAATGAAGTATTTGAAGGTTGCACCATTAACTTATATTGTAACTCTATATATAACGCTAATGCTTCATGTTTCCCTCAAAACCGAACTTTTGTCCAAAATTCTTTTTTTTTTAACTCAATGTTTCTTATATATTTAAACATATTTTTGAAAATGGGACATTATATGTGTATATATAACATACAATTTATTTATTTCTTTTATTACTAGAAATAAATTTTATTAAATAATTAAATTGTTCTGTATTAAATGCAAAATATATAAAAATATTAAACAAAATATTTTTGTGTATTTAACTCTGTATATGGATGTGCGCATATGTTTTATTTTAATGCAATACAGAATATTCAATTATTTAAGAAAATTTACTTGTAATGATTAGTAAATTAAATTATATTTTTTGTTAATTTTTTTATGTAAAATATATACGTATATGTATTTGCTTATAATTATATAAATATAATTCTAATTATATAATTGGAAAGATTTCTAATAGTGTTCATTATATTGATTTTATGTAATTCATGTTTTAGGAAATCTGTTGCCGCAGGTGAAATTTCATGTAAATTTGTTTTTGGAAAAAGATTGATGTCAATAGTAAAGCAGAATCTGAAAGCGTTAGAGATAAGAAGATGGATTGTAAAATATTCACTGATTTAGTAAAATTGTTAAGAAATGCATAATAAAAAGAGAAGTGGCAGAAGACAACAACGAATTGCTCAGGGAAGTTATCATCAACAACAGATTGTCTCACATCAACGAAGCGCATATAATAGAAGATGCCCAGTGATCATATAATGTCTCAAATCGGGAAATAAGACGTCTTAAAGACGTCACAATCATTAGACGTCTTGAAAACATCTAAATGACGTCTTTAAGACGTTATATTCCAAATTTGAGACGTGCGTGTTGTCTGGGAAACTCGCTAACTGAGACTTATATGTGCGATATCTGTCAAATAGTGTTCGAGCAAAAGAGCAAAATATTGCGCCATATCACGAGTAAACACAGCTTCTATCATCCCTTCAGTGCACAATTTGCGGCAAGGGTAGTAGTAGCAAGCGATTTGAAGATACACCGACTTACCTATCAGGAGATGAATGTCAGTTGATTGCGTTGATTTGCAGCAAGTGCGATTATCGTGGCAAAACGAAGAACAATTTAAAAGCACACTACATCAAGTGGCACATCGACGAGTACAAATTTGTTTGCGAATAGATGGAATGGGATCTCAAGTTCCACCTCAGCACTTATAACGGTTCTCAGCACATGTACGATACTAGCGGGAGATTCTACACGAGTACACAATCTACACAATCACAGGAAAGTGGCAAATTTAAACGAGTATAAGTTTCACTGCGGCGGTGCAACAAGAAGGTTCTGACGCAGAAGAATCTTGACAGCAATGTGCACGATTTGCAAGACTTACGAATGTAGAGTATGGGGCAAAGCGTTTATCTCGAAAAGATATTTAATCAATCACATAACGCATACAAGCATCGAACCGTACATTTATAGGAAGCAGTCAGATGCGCACTTATCGTCACCATCTGTGCCTCTTGGAAAAAAAGTAGCTTTAACAAAAGTAAATCAGGATTCCAAGAAAACATATTTTATAAGATATTAAAATAACTTGTGAGATGGCTGTTATACATATACTACACAATTATAAGATCTTTGTAGAATCGTGATACAAAAGATCTATGTGTGAAGAGAGCTGTTCTATTTAACATAATTTAACATTACTCGTTAAGAGTAATGTGATCTTTTATGTGATGATCTATGTACATATGTATGTTTCAATTTTAATCATGTAAAGTTATTTTACTTGTAATGATGTATTTAATTTTGTAATAAATTAATAAATGTACTTGTTTCGGTATTATACAAGAAAAAATATTAGCTGATAAGTTATAACTTAAACTAATAATATACATGTTTGCCACGAAGTGATTATATTTATTAAGAGGTGTATTGTATTAAGTTATCCGAAATTTATTTTATATAATTTTTTACAACTTCTTATTTATACCATAGACATTTTTCTTTACATAACATAAGCAGATTTGAATCGTTAGAATCAATTTTAATAAAATGATATTTTTTTTAATTCCGAAGAAAAAAAGAACGTAATGAACAATTTCAGTTCAAGTCAGAAAGATGAATGAATTAGCGACTTTTGCGAATCATACAATAGTTCCACGAGATTTAATCGTATCCAAACTTTCTTGTAGAAACATCTTTTAGACTCTGCAGTAAGTAGTGATTGAGATGTTCAAGTCCTAACAACATCATTGAAACTAACCGCTGTATTTTAATATGTTTTAGAGAACAAAACTGCAGCAAGAAGATCTTGCAGACGGACGCTTCCGGTTGCTTTATTGTCGGGAAAGATTCGATACCGATGAGACTGTGGCAGCACGCTGATGCCGGTGGTAAACTGCGCTATTCGTTAATACCGATGTTAGACGACGTCGATAAAGCTGAGGAAGATGTAAAGATACTTAATGTACTACCGTCAACCGCTACTAAAGTTGAAGAGGCCGAAGCTCAACAGAGCAATCAGAGAATCAGCGGATGCAGCGTCGGTAGTTGCATGAACTCCTTGATGCGTTTGCGCAAGATAGTAATTGATGGTTATACTTGCGACAAATGTAACATAAAATTTTCCATGCAGTCTATGCTGAATCGCCACAAAATAACGCACAATATGCATTTATGGCTTTATGGAAAACGCCTGAGAGAAAAGTGTGTGCGATATTTAAAGATGAACGTTCGAAGACAATCCAAACAGTTAAAGGTGCGAAAGCGTTTACAGAGAGCAAAGTATGTTTGTACATTTTGCGATTTTGATTGTAATAGATTGGCGACTTTGAATGCGCATGTAAAGAAAAAGCACAAGAAAAACACGACCAAAACAAATCCGAAGAAGCTCAGGTGTATCATCTGCAGTTACGAGTGTTTGAGTGAAGCGAATCTGAGCAGGCACATGCGAAAGCACAAGAACAAGAATATGACGAGTTTTGCTTGCAACATATGCGATTTTGAATGTAAAAAGGGCTTTACTCTGATGTCCCACTTGGAGGGTCATAAGAGATCTAAGAAAAATTCAGACGCGAGCTGTGCGGAAAAGAAACGTAGAATAACGAAGTGTAACTACACATCTCCGAAGAAGACAAGTCAATCCGATTGCTCGCACAGCCGCGGGACGCCTAAGAGGACTGCGTTAATCTCATACGAGGATACCAACTTGGTAATTAAACAGGAAGTTTGTGTTGAGGAAAGCAACGAGACATCGGCGATCGCCGCCGACGTCCCCAGTCAGAAAAAGCCCAGTCAGAAGAGGCCGGCCGTCGAGGAACACTGCGACCTCTGCGATTTCACGTGCGCGAAGAAGAGCACGCTGTACGCTCATAAACGCCGGCACAAGGTGGAGGATGTCAACGAGGTGTTCGGGTGCAACGAGTGCGGCTTCAAGACTGCCAAGAAGTCGTCGCTGTACTCTCACATCAAGCGGAAGCACAAAGAGTCACGGTCCTGCGATGGCAACGCGCAGCCGGAACTGTTCTGTTGTACCCAGTGCGACTATAAGAACAAGAACAAGTATGAGTTGAAGATACACATCGCGCGCAAGCACACGGACGACTTCAAATTCTCCTGCGAGACCTGCGGTAAGAAGTTTAAGGTCAAGGGCGATCTGACGAATCATATACGTTTCAGCCACCGGGAGCAGCCGGTGATCTGCGACGTTTGCGGCAAGACTTGTCTCAATAGCAACTCCTTGTACGTGCATCAGAAGTTTGCGCACTACAAGGCCAAATACGAGTGTCAGATATGCAAGAGGCGGATGGTCAGCCAGGAGAACCTCAATGAGCACATGCTCAAGCAGCACGAGCGCAGGGAGAACGTGGTGTGCGAGGAGTGCGGCAAGACGTTCTCGCGGAACAGCAGACTGAAGGTGCACATGAGGATCCACACCGGGGACAAACCGTACAGCTGTCCCGTCTGCAGCAAGTCCTTCGCCCGCAGAACAGCTCTCAAGCAGCACCTGCTTATCCACACTGGCGTCAGGCCGTACGTGTGCGATATATGTGGCAAGGCCTTCACTCAGAAGCCGGGTCTGATCAGCCATAGGAAGTCACATCCGGGTTCTCACCCGCCTCTGCCGCGCGTCCTCATCGATCATATCTTGAACGACGTTATGAACGGTTCACGCGGTGATTGATTGACGTAAAGTTTGCACGAACGATTTCGAGGAATAGTTGACAACAATGTATAAAAGATAAATGTGCTCTTGTAACTGATATTCATGTACTATACAAAAGAGATATTCTCATTATACAATTTTGTATCCAGTGATATCTAGAGGTAATGATTATCAGATTATATTGTAGCAATTTATGCGATAAAACAACTCGACATATTTGCACAGAATTTTAATCGCCATATGTAAAAATAAATAAACCTTAAACGTATTTTTTTAGATTATTAGTGTATGCATTATGTCAAATTCTGTGAACAAAATCTCTTTCTAAAGCTTTGTATTTCGTTATGTATTGTATTACATATTATTACCTTGTCTGACTTATTTGGACTTTATTGGACGTTATGTTAATTAAAGAAGAATTGTTTGATTTTAAGTTTCAAAATAAAATTATATTTGTATGATACTCACAAAGCAATTGGTTGTTAAAATTTCATTATTAGTTCCTGTTAATTTATTTGTTATTTTTCCTTTGGAGACTTTATATTCTAAATGTGGGTATGCATAAAATTATCGTACAATTATTTGCGTTTGTAAGTACGATAAATCTATTGCAGGAGAGTGTTTAAATCTTAATATCTGAATGGTATATATTTTCTTATGTACAACGCAGTATTTATACCCTAGATTTACTTATATGATTAGCTATAACCGAATGTGATTTCAGCAAATATGCGTTACAGAACGTGTAAGTTACTTCAAAACAGAGTTTTCGTTTACCACTAGGAATAAATATGATTATTCCCGTCGTTGATTGTAATTCTTGAGAGATTAGAAGAAATCATTGGAAAATGATGTATAAATAACTAACAAAATCTAAAACTTATGTTTTATCTGGAATGTGCACCTTTATCCATTTGTATAAAATAATTCTTTATTCTCAAGTATCAAACATTTGTTTGGAAGCATAAAAGAGATAAAAAATTGCGAAATAAATAATAAATTCTAAAACCTTTCTCATTTGATAGCAAAATTCTTAACTAACATATTGTATGGTTTTCAGGGTCGTAAATGGAAATGGACATTTTCTGTATGGCAAAGAATCTATTCCAATGCAGCCGTGGAAAGTAGTTGATTTTGAAGGATGTCTCTATTATGCCTTTCTTCCGATAAATCAGACGTCAAAAATGACAGAAGAGACTGAATGTGATCAGAAACAGGATGATGTTATATTGAAAATCGACGTTGATGATGAGGAAGACTCCGTCGCAATTACAAGTGACAACAATGTGCCGCATACAGACACGTTGAAAAAGTTTTACACAATAAAGGTAGAAAGCGACAATATGTTGATGGACGAGATAATAATTACGGACGAAGATCAGCCTTACGATGAGGAAGACAGCAAGGTCTATGCTTGCGACGAGTGTAACATTTGCTTTCCCGTAATGCAGATGTTAAAGTGTCATCGGGAGACCGTTCACGAACAGGAAGAAAAAAATGTAGAGCATATTACGTACAGCTGCAAATTCTGCTGCTACGAGAGCACCAACAAATCGACCTTCAACTCGCACATCAACAGAAAACATTCCACGAAACGCGTGATTAAACGGAAAAGCAAACGCAAAACCGTCAAGCCGCAGGAATACTCGTGCGACATTTGCGGGTTTAAATGTCCAAGCCGACGACGGCTGAAGGAGCATCTCGATCGCAAACACGGATCCGAGTTCAAGTACGAGTGCGAGTACTGCAGCAAAAAATTCAAAGTTAAGAGCGACATGAGATTACATGTGCGTTTCAAGCACAAAGAGAGTCCGATAATATGCGACGTCTGCGGCAAGACTTGTTCCAACAGCAATTCGCTGTACGTGCACCAGAAATGGGCGCATTTCAAGCCCAAGTACGAATGTGAGATCTGCAAGAGGCGTATGGTTACGCAGGAGAACCTAGATCAGCATATCTTGCTTCAGCATGAGCGTAGAGAGAGCTTCGTATGCGAAGAGTGCGGCAAGTCTTTCTCAGAGAATCACCGACTGAAACAGCACATGATGACCCACACCGGCGATCGACCGTTCGACTGTCACATCTGTGGCAAAGCATTTGCGCGTAGAACTGCTTACAGGCAGCATTTGTTAATCCATACGGGGAAACGGCCGTACATTTGTGATATTTGTGGGAAAGCCTTTACACAAAAACCTGGTTTAATATGTCATCGGAAATCTCATCCTGGTGTGCATCCTCCTTTACCGGTGGTGCACATCGATCATATTCTCAATGATTTTATGAAGAAGGAGTGATTAAGTAGTGTAGGTCAAAAATTGTAAAACTTAATCGCTAGGTATATGAAAAATTCGAGATTACAGTTTGGAAATTTAAATTTATTGTTCATCTCTAATCTCTTTTATTGGCTATTTTTGATTTACTAAATTTATCTTATATATATGTATATATACACTACCGTTCAAAAGTTTGGAAGCACTACGTTTTTAAGAAAAAAAAAAAAATGAGAAACCTTACTGTCTGTTTTGACTATTCAACACAGTATTATTTGTTTCTAATTATTTTCCAAGGAAGTATTTTATTTGAAGAATTTTATCGAATGAACATGCCATTATTCTGTTATGAAGAAAGAACAAGATTTTCAAGATTTGAGTAAAATATAATAAATATGAAATTAACAATTATTATATTTTACTCAAACCATGAAAACTTGTTCTTTCTTCATAACAGAACAATAGCGCATAGTATTTTTACTCAGTAAAATTCTTTAAATGAAATACTTCTTTGGAAAATGATTAGAAATAATACTGTGTTGAATAGTCCCAGCCGGAACGCCGACGTCTATAGACGTCGAAAAGACGCTAGCATTCCGGCTGGGGTTAAAACAGACAGTAAAGTTTCTCATATGATATATTTCTTTAAAAAAGTAGTGCTTTCAAACTTTTGAACGATAGTGTGTGGGGCATTTAAAGTGTAACCACTTTAAATGCCCTTTCCCATCATGTATACATATATTGAAAGATAAAACAGATTACTAATTACTCTTAAAATGATGTATACATTGATTTATCATCGATACTTTTCACACAATTAGAAAATTATTAGAAATAATATCTATACAGTAATATGTATACAAACTTCATACAAATGTATATGTAAAGTTTGTTTTTATGACGAATACAATTGTTCTATGAAATAACATGTGTTGAGATATAGGTTATAACAATGTGATAAGCAGTAAAATGTATTTTAATAAAAATAATCTGTATCTCGATGATGAAGACAATTTATTTGAAAATTAATATCGAATATCTTTTCATAATACCTTATTAATTATTCTTTCACATACAATCCTTCTTTACTATGACAGATAAATTTTAATAAAATGCTTTTACAAATTTGTTTTATACAATACAGAAATGGTACGTAATGATCAGCAATTACATGTAAGTATAATAAATTATATATTAGAATTTACAATCTTTCTGAAGTAAACGATTTACATATTGAAACAGTTTCAGATGTGCTTACAGAAATTGGAGCCAGACGTTCCCGTTCATAAGTCTTGTTTTCATAAAATAGTAGCAAAGAAATGTGTCTTATTTATTTATTTAGTTAGTCTCAGATTAGTAGCGTAAGTAATTAGGATTGATCAAATGTTCTTATATGGAATCATTTTATTAATATTTATCTCTTATTTCAAGAAGGTCACTTGCGTGATATTTTAAAATAATTTTTATCTTTATGAAGAGAAATCTATGATAATGAGATCTTATTATCAGACTAACATTTTTGACGTGTATTAATTTTGATGGATAATTAAAAATATTTTTAAAGTATTAAAATAGTAGTTTTAAAAAGCTGCGACATATCTCCAGTTTTATACACGATAAAAAGATCTCCACAAATTTCTAATTTGGAAATAATTGCAATTGATTTTTCTGAAATGATTAACTTCTCTCCTCCTTTTTAATTCTAAGAATTCCCGCGATATGCAAAATTGCAAGGGCGATCAAGATATCTATAAAAAGTAAAGATAATTATTACTACAAATTCATTGATTTACGCTTTTCGTTTTAGATTATTCTGCTATAACAATTTTTTTCAAATCTATTTTTGAATGTTATATAAATAATATCTATATATTATAATAAGATTATGTTGATACACTGTATTTAACAGTCTGTTCTAGAAAAATTAGGCTAGCTTAAATCCGTTTTGTTGTACATAACGTACTTAATTATATTTAATCTTGTGTAAAAATAAATATATCTTAATTATTCTATGTCACACCCCTAAGCACCTCACATCAATAAAATTTTTATTTTTGAACCCCGAGCAGAGGGGTGGGAATAATTTTAATTCCGCTCGTACCAATGTGTCTTCGTAAATTTTATATTTGAATGTAAGTAGTCCAAGATCTGTATACTATCCAACTGTAGAACCGTAATAAAGATATGTCTTCGTAATGTTGTAGGAAACCGACAGCGGATATCTCTGTCAATGAAGCGACGTCGAACAGAATATCGGTGATAATATCGGTCTCCAAACGCCGAGAAGAGAAGAAATCGCAGGAGAAAGATTGCGAGAAAGAAAAACGCAATTCGTTCGGCTGCGACGTCTGTCCTAGACACTTTAAGAACAAGTACTCGTTAAAACAGCACAAGCTCACGCACACGGTGGGGATCGTCCGCGGACGCGAAACGAGCGTAAAAAAGAATCCCGCGTTCACCGCGGCGGCGGAGCCGCGAAATCAAGCTCTTCCGTGCGGAAAATGCAACTTCCGCTGCAACAAGAGATCCACGATGATCGCGCATCTTGCCGAGAAGCACGAGGGGACCGCGGACGACGATAGGTTCGCCAGCAGCAGGCAAAAGTTCAACTGCATCGTCTGCGACGTGGTGTTCTCTCGCAAGGAGACCCTGAGGTCGCACTTCGTCCGCAAGCATACCCAGCATTACGATTACTCGTGCAACTACTGCGGCAAGGAGTTCAAGATCAAGGGCGATCTCACCACGCACATCCGGTTGAAACATCAGGAGGAACCGGTGGTGTGCGACGTCTGCGGCAAGACCTGCCGGAACAGCCACAGCCTCTACACCCATCAGAAACACGCGCATTACAAGGCGAAGTACGAGTGCCCGCAGTGCCATCGGCGCCTCGTTACGCAGGAGAATCTAAATCAGCACATACTGACGCAGCACGAGAAGAAGGAGAAGTCGGTGTGCGAGGAGTGCGGTAAGACGTTCTTCGAGAATCACGACCTGAAGAAGCACATGAGGATCCACACGGGCGACAAGCCGTACATCTGCACGGTCTGCGACAGAGCGTTCGCCAGGCACAGCAGCCTGAACCAGCACCTCCTTCTGCACACCGGCGAGCGTATCTACGCGTGCGACGTGTGCGACAAGTCGTTCGCTCAGAAGGCCGGTCTCATCTGCCACAGGAAGATTCACACGGGCGTTCTGCCGCCCCTGCCGGTGATACATATCGATCACATAGTAAAGGAGTTTACCAAGAAATAAAACAGCACAGCTTGAACGTCGGTGCTTTATATGATCCTTGTCTTTTATATCTTTTATCTCATGTGGCGATTAAATGGATAAATAATGTAATCGCGTCTGCGTGCAGTAAAAGGCACATGTTGCTGAACATGATTGAAGTCTGAGACAAAAAGAAAACTACACAAGTGCAAGGCATTTGCTTGTAACGCACAACGGCGTTGATGTACAGATATGATTAATTAAGATGAACAGAATTGGGATATTTTTATTTGCAAAGTTAAAAGTTAAAAGCAACGGAGTTGACGAGAATCACGAAGTTTACAATAAAATAGTAATGATGCGAAAGTTATTGTTTTCCAATATTATGTATGCGAGATAAAAAGCTTCTCTTATTTCCCGTTTCAATTTATTAATACAATAATAAAATAATACTTTTATGTTTATAGACTTTTAATTTTAATGTTACTAAATTTAATATATTCATCACTTTATGTAATATATTGATATAATATATGATCTTATAATATATTATCTCAGAGATAAGTATTATAAAAAATATTGTCATCAATAAGTCGCGTTGAAAAAACAACTTGAAAATTTGTGTTTATAATACTTGATTAAAGATTTACCTTGAGATTTTGTTCGGTTTTTTTGAAAAGTCGGAGTGTATGTGTCTAAATAAAAAGATTATATAAATATAAATATATTTTATTATTTAAAAGCACGCAAAAACTCTAAAAAATGAAATTAAGTGTTTGTAAATTATAAAGTTATGTTATGACATTTTATTTGATTCCTAGTTTATACCTAAGAATTGCTTATGTATTTTAAGCATTGCAACTTCGTGAATTTTAAACCATGCAATTACAAAAGAACATTATAAATTTATGAAATATCTACGTTTCATATCCTATTGTTATTTATGTTCTGAATATATCTATTACTTAACACATTTTTCATTTCTCATTAATTTTTTTAAGTATAATATAACATTATTTAGAAATATATACTTGCTTCGAATGGATACATATTTCTTAAGTTGTTAAAATAAATATATTGATTTATATATTGGATATGTACATATGTACAATAATATTTTATTTTGTACAAATATTTTGTATCTTTCGAATTTTCCCCATTTTATGGCAGTTTCGTGATTGCCATAATGTAGGTCGCAACGGACTACAATGCTGATCAACAAGAAAGGTAGTTTTAGCTCTCCGTTTGTGAGTACCTTCGTTGATCTGTGATTAAATTTATATGGGATAAATAATGACTTTTAGCGTATAATTTTTCACGGTATAGATAAAAATCACCTTGATTTTATTTTTTCTAATAATTATTTCATTCCGTAATGTTTCAGGCACCAAGGCGCGTACAATCCTCGTGGTATTTTCATCTTTGACAATGAATCACTGGTGATGAAGAAGTGGCAAATTTTGGAATTCGACGGCAAGCCGTATTATGCGTTTGTACCCGAAGGCGATTCGCCTTTACCGGACGAGGATATACCAGGACAAGTGGATGAGCAATTAGAGGAGGAAGTTGAAGGGGAGGAGCTAGAAGAGGAAGTAGAGGAAATGGAATATGACAACATTAGTATAGAGGTGAAAGAGGAGTGTCAGTTCAAGGGAGAAGAATACGATTCTTTGGACGAGAAATACAACGTTGAGAGCATTCTTAATGGGAATGTTGAAGAAATAGAGGAACTGAAAGGAACTATAAAGCCGATCACACTAAACGGCATCAGCGAAACTGTCGATGATAAGACGGTTGGAGATTTATACCAGGTGAAAGTACAGGGCAGTATGGTGACTATCGAGAAACTTGCGTCCAACCCGGAGGTAGACGCGAAACCGAGTGGCAGTATCGTGCAGACTATCGAGAAACTTGCGTCCAACCTGGAAGTAGACACGAAACCGAGTGGCAGTATGGTGACTATCGAGAAACTTGCGTCCAACCCGGAGGTAAACACGGAAGCGAGTGGCAGTATGGTGACTATCGAGAAACTTGCGTCCAACTCGGAGGTAGACACGGAAGCGAGCGAAGATCAGACAGAGGACGAAAATGACGATGAGGGAGAAGTAGAATATCTTGAGGAAGCAATGGTAGATGTGCCTAGCGTACCTTCTAGCAATAATGCAACACCTCCGAAAATGCCTTCTCCGAAAAAGACTCCGAGTGAGATAGTGAAATGCAAATTGTGCTCGGAGATATTCGACACGGTATTAGCCTTCAGGAAACACGTAGCGTGGAGTCATAAGAAGAAGATATGCATAAAAGAGGATGGCGCTTACATATGCGCCGTGTGCGGCTTTAGAACCCCGAAGAAGAGCTCGTTCATCGCTCATCTGGATAGGAAGCACGATACTTGGTCCAGGAAACGACCTAGCGCCACGAAATTCCCTTGCTCGGCATGCGGATTTGTTTGCAGATCGAAGCATTCCTTGCAGTCCCACTTCACGAGGAAGCATACGGACAATTACGAGCACCAGTGCAATTTCTGCACAAAAAAGTTCAAGGTCAAGGGGGATCTAACGAATCATATACGATTCCATCATAAGGAGAAGCCGATCAAGTGCGATGTATGTGGCAAACAGTGCCTTAACAGCGGTTCGCTCTATGTGCATCAGAAATGGGCGCACTACAAGCCCAAGTACGAGTGTCACATCTGCAAAAGACGTATGGTTACGCAAGAGAATCTGGATCAGCATTTGCTGACGCAGCACGAGCAACGCGACAAAATAGTTTGCGCGGAATGCGGTAAGACCTTCACGAAGAAAGACTCGTTCAAGAGGCACATGGTGGTGCACACGGGATGCAAGCCGCATTCCTGCATGATCTGTAGCAAACCTTTCGCGCGAAGGTCACAGCTGCGCCAGCATTTGCTTATCCATACTGGCAAACGACCGTTTGTATGTGACATATGCGGCAAAGCGTTCACGCAAAAGCCAGGATTGATCTGCCATAGAAAAACTCACCCTGGCCCGCATCCGCCGTTGCCCGTGATGCCAATCGCGGATATCGTTAAAGAGTTCACCGACGGATACGTGCAAGAAAGTAAAGGGTGTAAGAAAGAGAACTTCGACGAGGACATGTGAACGTTTTAGTTCATCATGTCGTTATATATGTCGAATTTTTTTTTTAATTAGTGTCTAAGAGAACACAAGCACACGATCGTTATAAAATAAGAATGATAGGACAATCGAGAAAATGTAGAACAGAAACATTAAAAACATCTCGGGCGGCAATTGCAAAACTTCCAAACGGAATTTTTATATTTACGCGAAGGATTATAGATTGTTTATCACAGCCGATTGCGATACCTCGATTTTAATAAAACTATCGGGCTTTTTATTGTCTCTATACTGTCTACTCTCCCCTATCCGATTTTTGTTATTTATTTGTTCTCTTGCGCATCGTTTTTGTGACAAATGTAAAATAATGAGAAAGTTGAAGCAAAAGATAAAAGATGATAAACAATAGAAACGTAGAGAGAAACAGAGTAAAGTATTTGTAAAACTCTGCGGTATCACTATTTTAGAAATTTAAAATTAGGAAAAAGAAAGCATCATAAAGCAAATTGTCGATGATGCCAATTTCTCTAAGAAGTTAATTAACTTTGTTTTTAAATTTAGTTTTATCAACTCACAAAATGTTTCCGCAATTATCGCTAATAAATTTAAATATAATTTATGTTATACAGATATACATATGTATGTCGTCCAGATAAAAAAATTACCTTAAAATTTAATTTTAAAATAAAACCAGTGATTGTCTCAATGTAATGTACTAAGGAATAAAAACATACTTATTAGAATAGAAGTATTCCATTGAAAACAAGAATGCCACCAAGTTTTCGAAGTTTGTGATCCATAATGATTTCTTTATATCCAAAATTTGATTAAATTTTTGAGAGTAACTGATATACATATAATAAATAGATATAAAATGTATAGATAGATAGCTAGCTGTTGTAAATTACATATTTCTAAAATAGAATAGAATAGAAGAATAGTGATCTTACAACTTTTGTCGGCGTTTCAGTCTCTCGATATATTTATCGTCAACCAAATTAAAACTTTGTACACTTTCTTGAGCCAATAAAATACATTACGAAGGTATATAATGAAAATACAACATTTATTTTTGTGGATCACATGCAACATCGCCAATAGGTCAAATGACGTATTAAAATTAATGAAGAAACGTAAATTATTTTGATAGTTTTGATTTGATACTGTTCAATATTTTTTTAAACGCTATTTTATTGGTTAAAAATGGCTCAATAATATTTTTCATAATGCAAATGCTGATTTTGTGAGCAGAGAAAGAATCGTATTAGGCATAATAATATAAATCAATCATAAAATCATGTAAGTACAATTGGTAAAAAAGTTATGTAAATTTTCCGCTTAATGCAACATTGTTTTACAGAAGATAAATATAAAATGTCTATTACATACACTATCTTATTATCTCTCTTTTTTTTTATAAAAATATTTTTTTATACGTATGTTTCATGCATGTATGATATTACTTTATTCGTACTGGTATAAAATTCGGATTTGCAGTGTCACGATAATTTAAAAATTTAGTCATTAGATAGAAGTATAAGATAATTCGGCCTATTTAATTATTTAATTATTTTTTCCGTTATTTCCGTTATTTAAAGAATAGATTTAAAAATTGAAATAACTTATATAAAAAAATGGAAAAATCAGAACTTTTTGATTTTAAAATGGTGCTAAAATGACTCTCAGAATAATCTTTTTATAAGAAGAAAAAATGGTATGTTTTTGTTTTATTGAAATAATTGAAGTAATAATTGAAATAAGCCTTTATTTTTTTATCTTTATCTTTATCTTTATTTTTCATTTTATATAATTTTTTTCATTTTTTTAAATTTTTTTATCATTTTTTTATTTTTTTTTCTTTATTTTTATTTTTATTTTTCATTTTACAATAGCTATCTCAGAATCAGCATTTCTTATTGGTGTTTATAATAAAACCATAATTTTTTGAAAGATATATCGTGAGAATATTGAGTATAGTACAATATTTGATAATAAATGATGTAATTGCTTTATTGTGGGCAAATTTTTGTATCTATTGTACAGTAAGTAATTTTCTATTAATATCTCACTGTTATATTATGTGTGGAGAAACAATATTCTTACGTATACAAGAGCACAAAGTGATTCAATCACTTTTTTAAAATGTAAAGGATAATAATTTATTTACATTAATAATTATCTTGTCACGTAAAATACATCAAGCAATTATCGATTTCTTCATACACAATACATGTTCTCTGGCGTATACATTAATATTAATTTATAAGCAATAGCGCATTGAATGGCTTTACATAAGTATTAGTTTTCTTTGAAGATAACTGTGTTCAATAAAATTAGATTAGTAAGGTATGTGCACGAGTACAGATTACCGTTTCAAATAAATATTTTTGACAACACTTCTTGTAAAATATCTTTAGATAATGATAAATTTAGTTAAACAATATATATTTAATTAAAGAATGCGTACATATGTATACCCAGACACAGCACGCATATGCAAAATCGGGACATAAGACGTCTTAAAGATATCTTTAAAACGTCGTATGATATGATGTCTAAAAGGCGTTTTAATGTCGTCTTTAATCTTACGTCCCAATTTTGGACATTTGTGCTGTCTGGGTATACATATAATATTATAAGATTATTATGATCCTGTTTTAACAGCCATTTTTTAATGCCTAAAACTTTTACGTACTTGTGCTACTTTCGAAGACAATTCAGATTTTACGAAACATTTCGTAAAGTCACAATAAGAGATAAGTATACTTTGTATTAACCAGATGTGTTGAGGTTTTAATAATAATAATAATCTTTTTTCTTAAACTTTTAGGGGTATAATCGATACTATCGGTTCTTTAAAAGTCGACAAATAACAGTTTGTCGCAGTTACAATCTTCTGTGAGAATTGCGCAGAAAAATCTCAATTCAAAGCAAGCCTATATACGAAAAGCATGTCAAGGAATAAGCCGCATCATCCCAGGACTGCAAGTTTATGATGAAAAAATATATTCAGAGGAAAGAGAAAAGTCATGTGAGAAGGTTTAAACTTGTGCTTCATTACTTTTATTATTGCTTCGCAGTTGAAAAGTCAGTAGAATTTTCATTTCTGCGAACATCATTTTTTACTTGAAGAACGAACTGCGATTACATATCGAAAAGATGAACGCTTTTAAAAAAGTATTTTTGCGACATTGTTTGCGCGATAACGTTCGACCTGCAAGGGGGGGTATAATTTAAGAAAACATACAGACGATCAGAATTATATACGGCGTACAATGTACGCAACGTTTGCAACTGGCACTTTAAGACTAAGAGAGATCTGCACAAGTTTATGCAATGCTTATACAATAGTAACCGCCAGACGATGTGCGATCTGTACGGTAAAACTCACCAGAATCTGTTTGCCCTTAATAGGCATCGCGTAGATTGTACCTACGGTCATCAGTTCTTTTGGGACGTGTACTGAAAGAAATTCGCGACGAAGAAGGAGCAACACCGCAAGCTACATAATAACCGGGAGGCCATCGTCTGCCACGTGCGATAAGATCTTGAGCAGCAAGGATTCTATGAAGAAGTGATACACCGAGAAGTCATACCGATATGATGCCGTATAGAGCTGCACGGTAAGAGATTCATGATCCAGAACGTGAATCAATCAACAGCATCTACCGATGCATCAGGTTGTACGTCTGTGATGTCTGCGGTTAAAACTCCACGTAGAAGCCTGATCACGTATAGGAGAAACTATCCTGGATCTTTACTTCGACTGCCCACGATGTCGGTAAATCACCTTATCAAGGATCTACTGAAGACGAAAGTGGAGAAACAGAAATTAACGCTTTAAAGAAGATAAAGAACGCAGTTGAGACGTGTGTTGTGTCCACTTATCTTTAGCTTTAAAAGAACTTGTAACAATTACAAGAAAGAGGAAATATTGATATTACTGTATTAGGAGAAAGATTTCTACATTTTAATAAATTTTATGATCTTATACTGGATTATTATTTCTATTTTTTTTTTTACTAGTCAGAGTAAAGAAGCGAAACTTTTAATATTTTCGTTCGCATTGCGTTATTACGAGATTATTGTCCTAAATATTTTTTTAGGACAACGTGACTATGTATTTAAAAGTATAGTATATGTAATTTATTATTTTGCGCTTAGCAAAACATTTTACTTAGACCAACGAGGATGTTTGACTCAAGTATTTTCGGTTTAATAATATTAATATAATATTTCTATTGATCGTTACTTCTTTTAACGAAAATATATCTGTATTTAAGTTTTTAGACTGGAAACTGAAGATTGCTAATTGATGTCGTATTTTGGCTAAAGAAAGTATGTATGCTGTATTTTTGTTATTAACATGGTATTTGCATATCGTGTATTCTCCAAAGAGCGACAGTATTAAAATTGTTAAAGTGGTAAATGATAATAAAATGGTAATAATATCATCTTTTTTCTCATTTTACTTCACCTTCTATAGTTTCCCAAATATTCATCTTCAATCGCGTAATATTCGTCATTAAAGGAAGATGTTAATGTTTTGTATTAGCGTAACATTTATAAAACAATAAAATATTAACGTACTAAAATATTAACTAAAATGATAAATTTAACGAAGTAATTATTGGAAGAGCACTGCAAAATGTTTGTATAACTTTTCTACTTTAAAACTTTGAAACTTTTCATGAAATATTAAGCTTATTTTCCGTAAAGTCGGCCGTAAAGTTACTTCGGGCAAAGCGGTTAAAGGAAGATACTGTGAGCGACAGAGGCACTTTTCTCATATTTCTGAACGTTTCTTGACTGAACGTGTTTTTTTTATGTCGTAGGTTTGATTTACTAGAAATGGAAGGAATCAAGAACGAAGGCATTCGGGGTCCCCATGCATTCTTTATCGAGACATCTCCAAGTATCGCCGAGATAATCAACACGGAGAGCAGCAAAGAAAACAGGAATGTAGTGAGACGCCTGCATTACGCCTGCGACGTTTGCTCGTTCCCCTGTCGGACGAAGGGAAACTTAAGAAAGCACATGCAGCTTCACAAGTACACGTGCAGAACCTGCAACGAGCGGTTCGCCTCGTCGGAGAAGCTGGAACTTCACATGGTCGTGCATCACGGCGAGCCCAAGTACACCTGCAAACTGTGCTACTCCGTCGTGTGGAACAAGCCGGACATGAAGAAGCACTTCCTCGTGAGCCACTTGGATCCTTTCTGCAACACGTGCACCGCCTGCAACAAGGTGTTCCAATCGAAGTACGCTATAGAGAGGCACATGTACAGCCAGCACACGAAACTCTCGGTGGCGTGCACCATTTGCAGACGCGTCTACAACAGTTACCACGCGCTCAAGGCGCACACCAAGCTCATTCACCTGAAGACCGGCTACCAGTGCGAGATCTGCAAGCGGCGTCTCCTCTCCGCGGATTCTCTCGAGGCGCACCTACGTCGGCACGAGGGCACGCGAAACATGGACAGCTACATCTGCACAACGTGCGGTGAGACCTTTCTCACGAAAAACAAGCTGAACAAACACGTGACCATCCACGGCGAGATCAATCCCTACGTCTGCCCGGTCTGCCAGAAAGCCTTCGAGAAACGGGCGAATCAGGTGCAACATATTCTGACGCACATGAGTAACGTTTACGCGTGCGACATATGCGGGTTGAGGTACTCGCGAAGGGCTGCCCTGATATGGCACAGGAAAATGCATCCTGGGCCGCTCGGTAAACTGCCAGTTATACCCGTGATAGGCATTGTGAGCGAGTTTGTTAAGAATTATATTAGCAAAACGAAAAACTTACCAAACACTTAATCCAAGTCCGAAACCGTTAAATCTAGAAAGTACTATAATCATTTGTTTAAACGTTATCTTTTCCTTTATAGAGATAGGATTTTTCTAAAGATAAATTTTTATCAAGCGCGTGATATTTCTATATCTTCAGTAATTGCAATTATAGGATAAGACGTTTGTTATTTTTTTTCCCGGGTATATTGCAAGTTTCTGTTAAATGATGTTACGATGCTATATTTTGTAATAAACGCAGTTAGATTTATATATGATTACTTCGTACATGTACAGCGAATATTTACTTGAATATATATATATATATATATGAACGATTAATCCAAATCGCTTTTCCTTCAAATTGTTTTCGATTAATCTATTCCCCGACAATTAAATTCTGATCTGTAGATTTTACTTACTCGTCGTCAGGTAAGTTATACCATTTGCCATTAATTAATTATGCCGCATAATTAATTATGGTACTGATACGCACTCTTTTTTTAGGTGATCCAAGAGTTTTGCGTTGCATATATGAAAAGCCGATATTTAATCCTCTTTCGCAAACTCTGCAGACTTCTAATCTCCCTTTAAGGAAGGTAACTTGAAGAACGATGGCAATAAAGCATCCAAATGTTTATTAAACCGCCTCCAATAATTATTGTAAACCGTTCCCAACTACCTCCTCCTCGTTTTTATCAAACTCTCAATGATTTTTCTCGACAGGCACATAAGCAATCGTTCCTTCGAGTTATAGCTGTTGGTAACGCGAATTTTTGTCTTTTTATGTTTTAGAGTGGATCCGTTGAATGTTGAATCCAATGTCCAGAAACCATTTGTCGGAATCGAATGTGAATGGACGAAAGGAGAAAAATCGTTAACAGAACATGAAGGACGACCATCGGAAAAGATGAGTGCAAGTCTAACGAGAGAAAAGCTTGGTTCGCGGATCGTAACCGAGGAAAATCGACCGACTAGAAAGAAGACGACGTGCGTGGAGTGCGATCACTGTCGCCGCAAGTTCTTGAAGAAGAGCAACCTCGCCGAGCATCTGAAGCAGCATAGGCACAAATGCGCCGACTGCCCGAAGACCTTCAGCCTTCGGCGTTATCTGGTCTCCCACGTCGAGAAGAATCATCGGCAGCAGATGTACGAGTGTAGCGTGTGCAAGTACAAAAGCAACAACAAAGGTACCCTGAAGAATCACTACATCCGGCTGCACACGAGTAACTACGACTACGCGTGTGACACGTGCGGCAAGCAGTTCAAGATAAAGAAGGCCCTGAATCACCACGTGAAGCAGAATCACAGCGAGGCTCCGCCGATCGTGTGTGACGTCTGCGGTCACTTCAGTAAGAATCTCCACGCCCTCAAGGCTCACATGAAGTACAGGCATTACAAGCCGGAGTTTGTCTGCCGGATATGTCGACGGGGTATGACGACACAGGAGAACTTGGAGCAGCATCTTACGTGGCACGAAACCAGGGAGAAGGTACTCTGTCCGACTTGCGGCAAGAGATTCCGGGGACGCGACCTGGACTCGCACATGAGAGTGCACACCGGGGTGAAGCCGTTCCCCTGCCCTGTCTGCGGAAAGACTTTTCGACGGCAAACTGCTCAAGAGCAGCACGTGTTGATCCACACCGGAAAGAGACCGTACATTTGCGATATTTGCGGTCAAGCGTTCGCTCAAAAGCCCGGTTTAATCTGCCACAGGAAGAGACATCCTGGCCCGCTGCCCCCGCTACCTGTAGTCTCCATCAAGAACATCGTCACGGAATTCACGAAAGAATACGCGACGAAAAACGCAGTCATAAAGATTGAATAAGATGTACAAGTTTGTAGTATTTTTAGTGGATACACCTCTACACCTGACGAATTAATTGTGGATTAAATGCTTCACGATTACATAGAGAATAATTAAAAATTTGATATAAAAAGAGCCATGGTCAAAAAACAAGAATCTCAGAAAGTTGCTTATTTAAATAGTACTTTTTATCTATATAGAAGAAATACATATTTCTTTTACATATTTTGTAGATATAAATGTGATATTTGTATAGGTCTTATAAATATTCTTACAAAAATTAATATTTTTTATTGATACTTTTTATTCATACATATATAAACTTTTTGAGCAATATTATATACATGTATATGTATACATATATGCACACTTTTTTATATCAAATTTTGAAATATGAATGTCTTTTTTGCAATTTTCTACTGTATTTTGTATGTAGTTTATAATAAAAATTACAATTTTTATCAATTTTGTATATATTCATTGATTTCCTTTGTGTAACACAATGAAGTATGACACGAGAGAATTAAAGAATACATAATATTCTATTTACTTAAGATAAATATGATATCGATATTTTTGTTCAACAACTAAATAAATATGTAATTAACTAGTTTTTATTTAAATCATAATATTAATCATCCAGAGTATATCATTTTCTTTCATTTAAAAATATTTTCGGCAATGATATTCGGTAATGAAATTTTAGGTAAATATAGATTAATTTCATTGTTATAAAAGAATCAAAATTTTTATTAAGTAAATGTTATTGTTAAATAACTATTTAATCATTTTTTAATAGTGCTGGAATACTATTTAAAAATATTTTATGTTACATTAATTACGATCTATATTTGGGATTTAACTTAATGTAATCTTTATATTTCTCGCAGTCTCTTTGTAGATTAAAAATATTTTCGTGTAAAAAAAAAACTGGAAATCATTCAACAATCTTAATATCCCAAGTAAGTAAGCTCAATATCCAGCGATAGATCCTGCATATCGTGTGTAATAAAATTTAATTCGTTCGTAATTTATGTTTTAGTGATTCACCCGTGGATCCTCTGAACATCGTGGACGCGGAAAGCATAGAATGCGTGCCCGAATACGACTTATTATCAAATAGAATTAAACGGCACATCGCCAGGAAAAGAAAAACGAGAGAAGATACGAAAAAGCAGAACTTGAATCGGGACAAAGTTGACAAGAAGAAACCTAAATTTTCCTTGGAGTGCGCCACGTGCGGCCAACGTTTCAGCCAGAAAGCAACCATGGTAGTACATATGAGCCTGCACAAGTATCAGTGCCAAACCTGCTGCCAGAGCTTTAGTCTGAAGCGAGAGCTAAAGCGCCACGTCATGAACGTTCACGGACCTCTTCTGTATCCCTGCAGCATCTGCGAATACAAGAGCAACAACAAGTGTACCCTGAAGGATCATTTCATACGGAAACATACCAGCGGGTTCCAGCACTCCTGTACGGTCTGCAAGAAGGAGTTCAAAATCAAGAACGATCTGAAGCAACACATGAATCAGGTGCACAGCGGCGAGCCACCCATCATCTGCAGCATCTGCGGACATGCCTGCAAGAACGTGCCCGCCATCAAGGCGCATATGAAGTATCGACACTACAAGCCTGCTTACGAGTGCAAGATATGTAAGCGCGGTCTGACCACGCAGGAGAATCTCGACCAACATCTGATCTGGCACGAGCGAAAGGAGAAGGTCGTCTGTCCCACCTGCGGCAAGACCTTCGGCCAGAAGAGGGACTTGGACCTCCACTTGAGGATCCATCAGGGTATCCGGCCGTTCTCCTGTCCGGTCTGCGGTAAAACCTTTCCTAGAAAGACCGCACAGGAGCAACACATATTAATTCACACCGGGAAAAAACCGTACATCTGCGACATATGCGGACATACCTTCGCGCAGAAACCCGGACTCATCTGCCACAGGAAGCGGCATCCCGGACCGCTGCCGCCGTTGCCTGTGGTATCCATTAAGAAAATAATCATGGACTTTACCCAGGAATTGGTCTCTTCTACGCAACAAGACAAAATAGATAGCTAAATAGTTATTTGAGAAATTGCTTCAACGTGTATCGACGACGAAATTAATTAAATTCATTTACAATCCTGGGATGCACGCACGATCCCATATGCGCGAAAGCACGTGACATCTGTTATTGTGATTAGTTCACGAATTTTGCAATTTGTTTCTCTGAATATCGAGGATTGTCTTAACAATTTGATTTAAAAAAAACGCGAAATGTAGTTTGAAATAATCGACACAGAGTTTACCTATTAAAACGTTAGTTAAATAATATTGATCCATATGAATTCTAAAATTAAACAAGTTTAATTTGATTTCCTAATTTGTACTATCTAACTTATACTATCTATACGACGTTTGCCTCTCTGTCGCGTAAGTCAATTCTAAATAACATAATTTTTAATTAGATGTATTACCTAATTAAAAAATTACCAAACTAACTGACACGCATTTTACGTAAAAATGGTAAAAAGTAAGATTTTTAATAGAGAAGAATTTTATAAATCATAATTTGTTCGTATCATGTACGTATCAATTTATTCCCGGATTACTATTCACCTCACATACTACTTTACTTACAAATTCTCAAACCTATAAACTTTCCAATCGATTTTTTATAAACCTAGACATAGACGGCATCAGAGAATACATACAAGAGAATCAGGAACGAATCAACTACTCTCATATTAGGATGTTAATTATCTGATTATATTAGTGATCCTAATTATTTGTTATACAAATTATATTCTGTATATAATTTTTTAAGGAAGCAAATTCAGAAATTAACATTCTCAAAGTTTTTATACACACGAGCGCTCTATCATATTTCAAAAAATTATATATTTCAGTTTCTCTATTTACGCTACGGTGTATATAAATAATTATGTATTTACTTCTTTTAAATAAAAGAAAGATATTGTCTAGTAACCTTGATATTATTTTTCTGACATTTACAAAGAAACCATTATTTTTTTTTTTAACTAAAATGCCTTGATACAATGCTCACAATAATTTGTTATATAGTTATATAGTTATGCGTATTATTGTTGTAAAATTAAAATTAATATCTTTAAATGTAATCTGTCCTCTTTAGTATACATATATTTATAAGAGAATGATTGTCGTTTTTACTTGTTTTACAAAATTGATGCATATTTAATATATCGTAGCTAACACAACAAATTATGTTGTTTTCTCTTAAAAATTTGTTTGAAATTTGCTCGAATAAAATATTTCACATTTATTTACAAAATCTTGTAACTTAATTATCTTGTAACTTAAATAACTTAATTTTGTAACGGTTATGTGATTCCTCCTTATTTATAATTTCTATTTTAATTTTACAAAAACGACTAAATTTTGTAGAATTATTACGTTATTACATTGTTAATGTTTCTTATGTTATCACATCTGAAGACAAGTGGTAGAAAGGGTAGGTAGCGCTCACACAAATTGAAGAAGTAAAAGTAAATCATTCAAGATCCCAACTACAAGTATAGTATAAAAATGTGGCGTTAATTTTTCAATTGAAAATCATTTCAATTAATTTTTGTTTTTCTGTGAAATTCCGTCATGAGATGCATATTTTATTATCCTCCCCTTCTTTCAGGCAACGACGGGGAGGTAGATTGCGCGCCATGCACCAATGCGTCAAGTGCGGGGCTCGTTTCCGTCACACGCGAAAGCTCGTAGAGCACCTGAAGAACCTGCACAACATCGACCGGGCGTTCAGCTGCGACGAGTGCAACAAGACGTTTCGCAGCCCGATGAACATAGCTCGTCACAAACTGATCCACACGGGGTTGAAAGCGTTCACCTGCGATCTCTGCGAGTACAGCACCAATCAGAAGTCCAATCTGGAGTGCCATCGTCGACGGCACGCGAAGGACTACAGCTTCAAGTGCGAGACGTGCGGCAGAGGCTTTTTCCACAGGGCCGAGTACCTGGACCATCAGAACGCGCACACGAACAAGCGTCTGTATCGTTGCGAGCACTGCTGCAAGAATTACCTGTACAAGAAGAACCTGTCGGTGCACCTGGTGACGCATCACGCCGGCAAACATGCCGCCGCGGTCACGAGGAGCGCGAGGACCAGGCACGCGTGCAAGTTCTGCCCGGAGAGATTCGTGTACAAGAGGCTGCTGGAGAGGCACATGAAAAACCAGCACGGATTCGCGGACGCGCCAGCGAAGCACCTGTGCGATCTGTGCGGCGCGGAACTGTCGTCGATGAGACGACTGCTGGTGCACAAACGCAATCACGCGGGCGAGAGGATCTTCGAGTGCGACACGTGCGACAAGAGGTTCGCCAGCAAGGAGAATCTGAGCATTCACAAGCGGACGCACACCGGCGACAAGCCGCACGTGTGCCAGCAGTGCGGCCGCGGTTTCACGCAGAGAACATCGCTGGTCCTGCATCTGCGGTACCACTCGGATCAGAGGCCTTACCAGTGCTTGGACTGCGGCAAGGGATTCGTGTCCAACACCTTACTCAAGAGGCATCGCAAAGTGCACGAGAAGATCGTGCAGCCGAAGCTGTGAGATGGAACTTCCGACGAACACGACATTTCGATCTCTATCTAATTAGGATTATTTTAATGTTTTTTTTTTTTTTACAATTGTATTTACCTCAAACAATTCTATTATGTTAACAGAAAAATGTTTTAAACACCAAACACTTTTTTTTAATATAAGAATGAAATATTCAACAAGTATGATACATTTATATTTTTGTAATATTTGGAAATTTGTAATTTTAATATTTCAAACGATCACAATTATTTATATTATTATAAATTACCTTCAATAGATCTATAACTTATGTTACTATATTATTTACACTGTATATGTTATTCAATATACAGTGAATATATAGGATTGACTTGTTGACTGCGATTGTAATATTTTGTAATAAATGCAACGTAAATCTGGAATATATAGAATTGATTTTAATTACGTCTTTAAAATGTACCATTGAATCTCGTTCGCCACTTGCGGTTCTTTAACGATGCGATCTGTGAGTTCTCCTCAGCTGTGGAAGCACACTTTACAAAAGCATCGACTTTATCCTAGGTAACGAATGTTAGTAGAATTTACAGTTACGTTTCGACGAGGCTTTATGTAAATGTGTATCATTATTGCAGCCAGTGGACAAATAATCACGATTTGAAGGTGAAGAATGAGGACCTACCTGATATTGGACAAAAGTGAGTTACTTATAATTTATATTAAGAGTTTACAGGACTTTGAACATTTCAAAAAATTAAACATTTTTTTCATTTTCCACTAGTTTAAAATCATACAAATGGAGCTGATGTAGATTAATTGTGAGTAAATTGTTAAAAATTACAAAATTTATGTTCCAAGATTTAAACGCGCTTTTCTCAAAACATTATTTTTGAAAACGATGGCCATGATAACTCAAACACGGTTTATCCGATTAATTTAAAGATTTAAAGTAACACTTAATAATATTTTGCTTTGGTTTGCAGATACTTTTAATCCTCTTTTTTAAGTTGTAACAAATGTTTTTATTGATACTTATTTGTGATCAGTTTATTGACTCAAATTGTATATCTATTCTACGTGACGGCAGTTTGTTTAAAAAATAATTGCGAATATAGATCTGACGGAATCTATCTTATTGTTAGACTTTAAGTATCAAGTTGTCGACCCAGGTTCTGTCTGTAAAGAGAAGAGACCCGTCGAAATGCTTGCTGTTTTGAATGGTTGCAGATTCGAAGGTGGCGAGAAGGTCTGCGAGCTGTGCCAGGCAAAATTTCACTTTGTTACCAGACTGGTCGCCCACCTGAGAATAGCGCACGGCATCCTTCGGCCCTTCAAGTGCGTCACCTGCGACAAGAATTATCCCCAGCAGTTCATGCTTAACGCCCACGTGAAGAAATCGCACACGCCGAAGACCGCGCCGTGTAACCAGTGCAGCTTCATGGGCGTCAACGTGACCGACGTAGAGAGGCACAGGCGGCGACGTCACCGAGCCCCGCCGAAATTCACGTGCGAGATTTGCAGCCAGGATTTCGCCGATAAGGACACTCTGATCGCGCACACGACGATGCACGACTTCATGCGGTATCAGCGATGCAACGCGTGCGGTAGCATCTTCAACGATGTGTACAGGTATATCTTCTTGATCGCTGAATCTGCTGTTATATCACTGGGTTTACTTCTATGACACTTAAAACTCAAATGACCCGTACACGTTTAGATTTTTTTCTGAATTCGGAGGAAGTTCAATTTCGACTTCGCAAGTTTCCCGATCGCGTTTTATATTAAAAAATAGATTCTTCCTTTTCTTTGTTAGCTTGATTTGTTTGTCGACAAGCTATACATACTCAATCTGCTCTAGAAAATAAATTATAAAGCTTCCCTGTTTTTCCTTTGGGATTAAAAATAGTATCACACAGTATCTTAAATCAATTAATTCTACGATATCGAGGTGATGTAAATACAGATTGCAAAAGAGTATATTGCGTAGCTTGAAGGAACACAATCGTCTCTACCACTACGATCCTGCGTCGGACGAGAAGTCGTTCGAGGAGCCCAACGAGAACGAGTCCGAGCACAAATGCGACGTTTGTGGCAGGGCCTACAAGTATAAGTCGATGCTGAAGCAGCACAAGATCAGAGCTCACGGTGACCAGTCGAACCACGAGAGACGCAGGTACCTTTGCGCGCTGTGCGGCAAGGAGTTGAAGACGGCGAAGGGCCTCGAAATCCACAACAGATCGCACACCGGCGAAAAGCCGTATACTTGCGAGGTGTGCGGCAAGTGTTTCGCCTGTGAGACCCTGTTGAGGACCCACAAAGTCACCCACACCGGAGAAAGGAAGTACTCGTGCGACCAATGCGGCAAGGCTTTCACGCAGAGGTCCACTCTGGTTGTTCACAAGCGATATCACACGGGCGAACGACCGTACGTTTGTCCTCGATGCGGTAAGGGTTTTGTCACACGAACTGTCCTTAATACTCACATGAAGTCCTGTCGTTGAGGTGGATTTGTCTTCACAGAATTTGTCGAGTCAACGCGAAGGAATAGATATCACCTATATATCATGAATGCTTAGGAATCCTACAGACGTTTGAAGATGTTATGATGTCTTAAATAATTTTTTACATAATTTTTAATTCAATAACAGAAGACTTGAATATACTAAATCTTTTACATAACTAAAGTTCCGAAGATATTATAATTAAGGATTATACTTTTTTACCTCAGGATGATAGATAAATATATTTTCTAATTTTAGTAATGACTAATGAAGAAACCGTCCGTGATATTAGTGAAAAAGATAATATCCCTTTTTTGTGTTAGTGGGATATCTATT